TGTTTGCTCAGACACCAGTCGCCCCACGTATACGCCGGTCCAGTAGTCCCCAGACACGTTGCTCACCGGTGCATCATAGCCCCAGTCAAAGCTCACTCTGGCCACAACACCGGCGTCGCCATATGCCACCGAGCCGTCCGTTACCAGCGCGTCTTCCAGCAGAGCATCGTAATAGCGCGCTCGGAGGCCCCCGGGCACCAAAGAGCCACCCGGAGCATCTAGCCCACACGTATCGAGGTCCACTTCACAACCCGGCCCGCCAAACCCGGGCTCACATGCACACGTCTCCGGTGCCACGCAGCACCCGCGCCCCCCGCAGCCTCCCGTACACACAACCTCATGCAACAGCGCATGCGACGGTACTCCCACAAACAGCGACTCGTCCGCGCCCTGCACCACCGCAGCGCTCTCATACGGACCCTGCCACTCAAACACCGCCGTCGTGCCGTAGCTCGTATGCTGCCACTCCAGCTTCACGCGCACCGACTCGCCGCCCACAAGCAAAAGCCCGTTGCCAGAGTCCGCATAAGCGCTCTGGTTCAGATACATGCCGCAGGCCCCATTGGTACACCGCAGCCGAAACCGATACCAGCCCGTCGTCGTTGGCCGCACAAACCCCACAAACGTCGCGCTAAAGTCGTCCACAGACACGTCCGGACTCGGCCCGCCGTTGCCCAGATCAAACGCCACCTCCGGCACCGCCAGCCCTATCCGCCGCTCATCAAACGCATATCCCTCATAGTACGTCGCATACAAGCCCGGCACAATCGCCCGCTCGTTCCCACACACGCTCAGCTCGCACGCCTCGCCCATGTATCCGGCCTCGCACACGCACTGCCCGTCGCTGCCACAGCTTCCATGTCCCGAGCACCCCTCGTCCGTGGCACAGCCCGTCCGCGTGCATTGGCTCAGATCCACAAACCCGTCATAGCATTCACACAGTCCTGCCACACAGCGGCCCTGTCCGTTGCACTCGGCGTCCTGGCTACCGTAGGCTGGGTCGTGGCACGCATCG